GAGGGTGGCCACACACGGGACACACGGGACACTCGGGACACACGCGGCGTTGCACACGGCCACTTGGCCGTTGCGGCAGCCGGTGGTGGTCGGCCAGTAGGGGGCGCGCACAGACCCAAGCAATGGCGCGGACGTGTGTGCCGCGGCGCACACTCTCCTGCACACACATGATCGCTCACACGCACGTGCTCCCAGACACGCGAGCTTCCCGCAGCTCCCAGGGCAGAGAGAAGGAAAGGGTCCCACCGCGTGGGGCCGAAATAGATACTCGCCAGGGCCTTCCTCGGAACCTCAGAAGCTGCGGCGGGGCCTTAGAAGAAGTCGCAGTTAGGGTCCTTCACCCTGGACCCCATTTTACAGGGGTGGGGACTGGGCTAAAGCCGCTGTGCCCGGGTCCCGCCCCAGGGCTGGAGTTAACGTCCCTGGCAAGACGCTGCCCGCCCTGTCCTAGTCTCGTGAACCTGCCTGGAGATGCGAAAGCAGCACGCTGTGTTTTATTCTGTAGAAAAGGACCGTCTTGGTGCAATGGACCCAGTGACTCCTGAGGCCTTTCCAGTTCTGATTTAGGAGGAAAGAACCGGACCCAGAGACCATAAAAGGAGTTGGTGGGAGATGAGAAAAAACCTCCGGTGCCTGGTTTGAACTCAGCCACAGGCTCTTCCTGGTTCAACTATCCCTTTGTTTATTTGTGCTGCTGCCTGCTGTTGGGTGTCAGGGGAGGCAAAGCCTGAACCAGTGGGGCCCCTGGGGTGGGGAAGGGATGTAGAATAGGACAGACTTTGGGGGCCTAGAGCCAGCCTCTGGGAGCAGAGGAGACCCCAGGCTCTCTGAGTTGGGGTGGCAGGTAGGGGTTCCTGAAGGCCAGAGGACAATGAAGCAGGAACCCATGACTTCAAAAAGGTTCAAGTTCAAGAAGTCACCACCTTTATGGGGCCTGGCTGTTGGAGTTGTGAGAATACAGTTGTGGTTGAGGTTCTGGCCACCACTTAGAATACAGGATCAACATAGTAGGGACACCAGTGAGACGACAGGGTCAAATGAACTGACATCAGCTTGTGGTCCCTTGGGGAACTGAGGTTGTAATCACATGACCTGGCCCTGCCTCTCTTAGCTTCCTGGTTTGGGGGAATCTTTGGGCCTCAAGTTCCTCATCTGTAAAATGGATACAAGAGTTCCTCCTCCACAGGGGTATTTTGGGGATTGAAAATGGATATAAGGCCCCCTTCTATCCCACCTTCTCTTCTCAAAGTCCCTGGTCACTAGGGCTCCTTCCAAGTCCGTTTCCTGTGAGCAGGTGGGGTCCAGTGGGATGAAGGCTGGGGAGCAGCGCCCCCTTGTGGTGGATATCAGGAGGGCCGGGGCAATTGAGGAAGACACGCATGGGCTAACCTGGTTAGTGCCTAATGGCGTCTGACAAGTTGGAACCTCCAGGGGCTGGCCGTGGGGCTGCACTGAGGGAGACCTTTACTTCTGACTCAATTACCCCCTCGAACAAGCAGAGAGCATGCTGCTTCCCCACAGCAGCCTCTCCTCTCACAACCCAGCTTCTCCAGCTTTAAAAGGTTTCTCTCAATTCCGCCCCCGGAGGAATCCACGCACTTGGCATTTACACTGTGCTTTATAGCTTACAAGCACGTTGACACGTTACTTGTCCCTGAGGTGTACCGTTTCTGGGTGGTGATGGCACTAGATGGATAGAGATCGTGGTTTACAGCATGGCTCCAGCACAGTTTGGATCCTGCTTCCTCCATCCAGCTTCGTAACCAGGACAACATTCAAAATACTGAATAACCAGAGGACTGGCAGCGACCAATCAGAACAGACCCTGCCACAAACACCAGGAAGGGGGGGGGGGGCGCGCGCAAATGCTTGTGTAGCTATGGAATATTCTGGAATAACCCAAACCTCACTGGGCCTCAGTTTCTTCATCTGCAATTTGGGCACGGTGACTGTAATAGTACCGCTTTTTAGGGCTGTGGTGAAGACTAAATTAGCTAATGCATGTAAAAGATTGAGAAACCCTAAAAAACACCTAATACGAGTTACCTGTCCTGTGTCCTCTCAAACTCAGTGACTCAGGGTGATTGCTACTTTTTAGGGAGACTCCCCAAGTAAGTCCACTGTGTGTGCTTGGGCTCACCTCCTGCCTGCCACTCCTGCTTGTCTGGCCCTCCCGTTATTCTGCTCTCTAGAAGTGCTCGAACTTTACCATTCACCTGAATTTCTGGGGGATCTTGTTAAATTGCAGGTTCTGATTGAGTAGGTCTGAGTGGGGCCTGGGATTCTACATTTCCTACAAGCTCCCAGGTGGTGCTGATGCTGGTCTGAGAAGCAAGACTCCCAAAGAGTATTGCAGAAACAGAATTGTCAGATAATTGATCTGTAAACATTTATTGAGGACTTACTCAGTGCAAGGATCAAAGCAGTCTGAAGGATGGCTTCCAACCTCAAGCAGCAGGGTCATTGCACAAACACAGGTTAAAACTGATAATCAGGCCAAGGGGGAAACATGTGCCAATAGTAGGTGGTGAATCCATTCTCTGCCCAGTAGCCAAAGTGATGCTCTAAACAAGTAAAGATTTCATAACTGCCTTGCTAACAGCTGTCCAATGGCTCCCATCTCACTCAGAATAAGAGGCGAATTCTCCTGGATTCTTCAGGCCCTGAATCATCTTGTCTTGCTTCTGACCTCATCTCCCGTCACTCAGCTTCATTCTAGACTCACCTTTTGTTCCCTTGAACCCAATACCCCACTTCTTCCTGAGATCCTTTGAATTTGCCTGGTTAATGCTTGTCCTTCAAACTGGTGAGCACCTGGCCTCTTATTCAGCCTCAAATTGCTTCCCAGAAAGACCTTCATTGACCTAAAGGAAGTATGGTCTAAAGTAGCTGCCCCCAGTCCAGGTCAGATATTCTCTATTGTATTGTTGTTTTAAAAAAAGAAATTCAATGTTATGGCATTATATTGTTGGTTGTTTTTTTAAAAATATTTTTTTTATTGACTTCAGAGAGGAAAGGAGAGGGAGGGAGAGATAGAAACAGCAATGATAAGAGAGAATCATTGAAGAAAGAGAAGAAGAAAAAATAATCATTGATCAGCCACCTCCTGCACACCCCCTACTGGGGATCGAGCCCTCAACCCAGGCATGTGCCCTTGGCTGGGATTGAACCCGGGACCCTTCAGTCTGCAGACTGATGTGTTATCCACTGAGCCAAACCAGCTAGGACTGTTGGTTGCTTTTTTTTTTTTTTTATGTTTTATTGCTTTTAAGAGAGGAACGGAGAGGAAGAGAGAAGAACATTGAGTGGCTGCTTCTGCATGCCCCTACTGA